AAACTCACTTATAGGGTAGATTAGAAACCAAAAAACTTGCAAATGCCCAGATCAAGCGCACATCAACCGATTAACACAGCAGATCTGCAAAAAAAAAATTATGGTTAGACTGTGGAACAAAAAAAAAATTGTTAGGCTGCAAAAAAAAAAACACCGTCAAGATCGCCAGCCAAAAACCGACTAAAAAGAGTTTATTTACCTCGATGGTGGTTGGCCAGAGATTGGAGAAGAAGCTTGCAGTGGAGAGGAAGAAAAAAGACAGAAAAAACAGAGGAAAATTGGGGAGAAATCGCAGAATGGAGGGGGACGGGCGAGACGCAGGGAAGAAGGCTGCATGCATCCTTATCCAGACCAATCCCGGTCCGTAAAAAACTGTCGGTGGGACCCAGCGTCTAATCAATTCAGAGATTCCTGATGCACATTTTCAGACCGGGATCGGTCCGGATATGTATATACGGATCGATCCCCATCAGTATAATAAATTAATATATACGGACCGATTTCGGTCCGTATAATTTCATTAAAAATAATAATTCATTCCTAATTTTTGTTATTTAATCTTTATTTTTTACAAAAAATAATAAATATATGGACCGAAATCGGTCCGAATATAAAAATGATATTTCGTATTCTCTAATGGATATATACAGACCGAATCCGGTCCGTATATATTTATTTAAATAATATTTTATTCATATTTTTTGTTATTTAATATTTATTTTTTTCAGAAATAATATTCGGACCGAAATCGGTCTGAATATTATTGGCGATTCTATACTGTGAATTCCCACCAGAAATATACGGACCGATACCGGTCCGAATATATTCATTAGTAGATTTTGTTCCACCTGAATATATTCGGACCGATATTGGTTCGAATATTTATTTTTTCGGACCGACACTATTCGGTCCGTATACGTCATTTTTCTAGTAGTGGACTTTCATAACCTTATTCTCTTCTTTTACTTTTCCTTACTTTTCTTTTTTACATTTAAGAAAAAGACTCGTTTCCCACAACACGATTATGATTCTTTAAGGTCCTGGTTTGTTTTGTTCACCTACTTAATGTCCCAACAGGCAAATGGAGTCAATTATGTTTGTAGCATTAGTTAACATTGGCGTTACTACATATAGCTCATAAACCAAAAGCACATTTGTCAAAGGTTATTAACTTTAACATTAGGTTGCATGGCATTCAATAGTTTATGTTGCTAGGATTCAAGGCAACTAAGACACATTGAGCCACAGTTTAAGCTGTTGAGCCCAGGGAATGGTTCTAGCCACCCTATCTAGACTATAGACAATTTGGATAACTATTTCAAATTGAAATCAATTTGTACAGTGTAACCAAACCAATTCTGGTTTGTATATTTCCCCCTTTTTTGCAAACACAATTAAGTAATTCTATCCTAAATTTCAAAAATATTCAGACCATTTTTTATTCGAATATGTTTTTTAGCTTTTTACTTGAAAATATTTAAATGGAAAATTCAAAATTTTCACTATACATAGACAAATTTCGATGTGGGATATTAAAGTGACAAATTTCCCCAAAAAATTAAACTTTTTCCCGAGTGCGAAAAATTTCAAAAATTCTATTTTAGACCATTTACTATTTGTATGGTTATTGCCTATTTAAGGTACAACTCTTTCTAATTCCTCAAATTTGTTCTATTTTTTTTCTCTCCCCCTCTTACCTTTTTGTTCCTCCTTTCTTCTTTCTTTCCACTACCCTTTCTCTTCTCTCCTCCTTTTCTGGTTTCTTCACCTCCTCTCTTCTTCTTTTCCATCCTCCATCTTTCCTTGTCTTCTTTCTTTTTATTCCCTTCTTTAAATATCTACATCTATTATTTTAATTTATATATTCTTTTCATATTTTCATTTGTTTAGCATATATATTGATACTTCATTTTTAGTTTTTATGTTATTAAATCTTCACAAACTTTACTTTTTCTTTGTAGGTTCTAATGAAATATTCAGTAAACCCTAAGCATTTTCTCATATATATATATATATATATATTATTTTCGTACTTTCTTTTTGTCATTTTCTATCTACTAGTTACATCTCTTTTATTTTTGCAAGAAATGATGAAAATTACAATGTAAAATGGGAAAAACAAAATATTTATTTATTAATTTTATTTTGTTGTAATTTGTTGTTTATATTTAATTTTGGTTGTCATTATAACCACTTATGTATCTCTAATTTAACTACAATTATATGCATAAGTTTAATTTTTATTTTACATAATGTTATTTGATAACTCTATGTAATTTGTAGTGTGTATTTATATATCTTTATTTGTAATTGTTTATTCAATTTTACATAATTTCATTAAATATTTCAATTTTATTTTAATAAATGTTCAATACTTTTCCTACACTTTATACAATACTTAGATATGATAATAATAGTAGATATATTTATATATATGAGAAAGGATTCACTTATATATAAGTTTTATACATTACACTTATATAAAATCTTATTTATTCATCTCTTTACTTTTAATGATTAAATTTATCGAGAGTTTTTAGATGAAAAAGATAATTGTTTTTAATAAATGTGAATAAGTTTTAAACCATTAAAAGTTGAAAGATGAATGGTTGAGATTGTAAATGTGGTAAGTTTTGTGTGTAGTGGATGTCTACTGCATAAGACTTGTGTGTAAATAAATCTCAATTACACAAATCATACTTACACAAAATCTAAACCATTTATCCCTCCACTTTTAATTGTTGAGATTTATCACGATATTTTAGATTAAAAAATAATTTTTTTTCATTTAAAAAATTGTGATATATATAATAGGAATCCACTTACAAACAAATCTTACATATCACGCTTATACAAAATCTGAACTATTCATCTCATCACTTTCAATTGTTGAGATTGTCATAACTCAAAATTTAAAAAAAAAAAAAAGAGATTTATTTTTATGTTAGTTTTTATCTTAATTAATCTGTTCAATTTCACTTTCATTTTTAGGTTTGCAAGCAAAAGGAAATTTCACGAAAAAGTGGGAGAAGAAAGAAACAAGGGACTCAATTGAAGAAATCAAAAGTTTGGGGATGAAATCCTTTAAGCTATAAATCTAGTCCATTTCTCAAACCCAAACCCAAAACCCATCAAACCCAAAGTCCACTCCAAAACTCAAACCAAACCCAACACCAACCCATTTTGATTTAAAGTCTCAGACCCAAAAGCCCAAAAGCCCAAAAACCCAAAGAACCAAAACCCATTTAACCCAACCCAACAAAAAAAAAACCATTTAACCAAAAAACAAAAAATTTTTAAAAAAGTATTTGTTCTCTCTTTCCAGAACATTCTTCCCCTCACACCCAAACCAGCCGGCAGCCATACGCCCACGCCCACGCCCACGCCCACGCCCCGCGCCTATGCCCCGCGCCCTACGCCTTGCTTCCCGCGCACCTGCCTCGCACCAGATCGCCTGCACTCTGCCCCTGCACACCCGAGCCATCATGCCACTACGCCCCTGCTGCTGCACCGAACCAGCCCTTTCGTCTGCTGCGCCGAACCCACGTTGCTTGCACGCCTGCACTCTGCGCCAGCAATCATGCCCTCTGCTCGCTACAGTACCTGCCAGAAAATCTTCATCATTATTGATTGACAGAGCAAGGCCTTTTTTCATTATTTATTATTTATTTTATCTTTTATTCGGGTATATATATAGAGAAAAATCAGATTGAAAGGCGGTGGTTGGTTGATTTTGGGTCTGTTTTGTTGGGGAGTTTCGGCTGAGCTTCGAGAGCAATAGAAGGGGGGTTTTTCTAGTTGATTTTCGGAGCTGGAAGGGGATTTCTTCTGGTATTGAGGCCGGGGTTTCTGATTTTGGAGTTTGATTTGGGTTGATTTCGGGTCTGTTGCTGGGAGATTGGTTGTGGTTGATCTGGGGGGGTCTTTTTGGAGTTTGATTTGGGAGTCATTGTTCTGGGTTTCGGGGAAAGGGGAGAGAAGAAAACCGAGCTGATTCCGGCGATATTTCAGCCTCCTTTTGTTAGGTATTTTCCTGCAACAGAGGAGTCTTTTTGGGGAGGCAGTGAGGGGAATGATCTAGGCTTGATCTCGTGGGTGGGATCCGCCAGATCGGACTCCGATCTGTTACCCAGAAAACTCCGCCGTGTTTGTTTCTTTTGTCTTCCTGTTTCCGTGACATGCTTTTGTGATGTTTACGTTTGTATATGTTTACTGAAAATCAATGAAAGAAAAAAAAAATGTTCAGTTTAATTGTGTTTCCCTTTCTTTCTGTTAATGAATGTTTCATTTTATTTTATTTTTATTTGGAATGAATGTATTCTTCTTTAAAACAAAAAAAAAAAAGGGGGTAGAAAGGAGATTAACCAGACTTGTTCTGTTTGGTGTTTGATCTGTTTTGCCGATTATAGGTTGATGGGTTGTGTTTTTGTGGGTCGAGTCAACCCGACCCAATCTAACAAAAAAAAAACTAAAAAGGGATTAAGAGTAATATATATATAATTATTGATTAATTGAGTTAATTGAATCTATGATTAATGAAGTTAATTAATTTTAATTAAAATAAATTAATCATGTTTATTGAGTTTGATTTGAGATAATTAAATTTATTTAGTCATCTCATTATTACTAGTAAATGTGATTAATTAATTTTAATTAATGTTAAGTTAATTATTTAATTAGATTAATTATCTTGATTAATTAATTTAAATCCTTAATTTTCTTTAATTTGTGTGAAAGTCAAAATCATCTTTGTTTATTTCAAATCTTACCCAAAGCTTTTGTAATTAAGCAATCTAGTCCATGGGTCAACTCTTTTTCCAATCAATCCTCTATGTTTGTGAATTTAATCAAGTTAGTCCCTTAACTTCTTGTTTATGTTATTGTGCATGCATGTCTTTGATTTCGTCCACTTTAGTCCAAAATGTTAAAAAATGTTGCAATTTGGTTTATCTCTTTTCCAAGATTGTTTATTAAGACCCAAATATAAATATAATAAATAAGTTGAATTAAAACCCTAATTTTAAAGTATACAACCGTGTTTAAACGGAGGATTGTGAGGTGCGCATATGCCCTTCCTCACTCTTAATCGAACCCCCGAACCTCGGTCTCTGTGCAGACCTATTTTAGGTGACTTGTCCCACCTTATAATTTGGACGAGTGGTGACTCCCTTATTTTTATATTTTTCACACTTGATTTTTCAATTTATTTTAAAAAAAATCTTAAGTGGTCGTCAATAGAGATTTATTCCCATTTATTAAAGATAATTATCTTTTCATTTAAAAAAGTTATAATAAATCTCAATCATTAAAAATAGAGAGAAATTGTCAAAATTTTATGTAAATATAATATGTAAGACTTGTGTATGAATGAATCTTTCTTATATATATATATATATATATTAGTATCTATTACGCATATTATATAATTACTAAACCAAATATTTTAATTTCTTTTTTTAAGAAGGGCCTTAATTTTCAAAAACAATTAACCCAGGCTTCAGACTTTTTATCTTTACAATTAAGTCTAAATTTATTCAAATCGATAATGATTTGTATATTATTTTCAAAAATAGTTACCCCAAACTTCAAACTTTTTAACTTTATAGTTAAGTCCAGTAAATTCGGACCGTAAATGGTATGGACATTTTTTCATTCTTTTTATGAATTTCTTTATTTTAAACCATTTCTAGTTTATATTATAACTTCTTTTAATTTGAGCTACATTCTTTTATATGATTATCCAAATAGAAATAAAATTTTCCACACTGAGTGTGGTATGGATTTATTTAATATTTTTTTGGTGTAACTTTTCAAACCAATATAGGTTAGGATCCACACCAATATTTGGTTGGTCTGAACAAAAAAATGTTTCAGACTAGGTTTTTTCAATCGAACTTTTCAAATCAGTACTTGTCTACATATATTCAAATTGTTTTCTACCTCTTTCAAGCTGATATATTAGTTTGGAAATTGGATTTTTCTAGTTAATCTAAATTAAGAGATTTATTCCTAAAAGGAAATATATCCCTTTGATCAATTATCTTCCTAATATTTTGACAATCTTTTCCTAAAAATTTGGCTAGACCCTAATCCTTTGTCCAAAATCTTGTAATCACCATCTTGGCCTCCTATAGTTGCTACATTATCACCACAAAAGTAGCTAAAACCACCACACAAAACCTACCTCCAATCTAGTAATTTGAGCACTATCACAAAAAAGCTTTACTCTTTCCAGCCTATTTCCCGTTACCTCTCAACCATTGATAACAACACCAACTTTGTACCAGCCCATTAGTAATCGACAGTAAGATCAACACTGCATACATTGGTTGTTCCTCCTCCACTGACATTGGCAATAGCACACTCTTCCTCCATCGTTAAAAGTCTTAAAGGATTTACCAACACCACTACCAACCCAACCACAACCCAACCACTCCATCCATACATTGAGTCATCCACCTGCTTACATGGCAAATTGTTCCCGTTCCTTGCTTTTTAGGCTCCACTGCAACCACTACAAAAAAAAAGGCTATTTGCTAGCACTTAATGCGTTGGAACATAAGTAAAAAGCATTGGAAATAAATTATTTTCTAGCGCTTAATGCTGGAAAATGTCGTTGTAAAAATATTGCCTAGAAAATAATTATTTTCCAACACAGGGAGTACGCTAGAAAATAATTTACAATTTTTTACTGCGTAGTGCATTGGAAAATACGAGTAAACAGCATGCATATGACAGCTAATTGTCTACCGTTAACACTGCGCTGGAAAATAATCTCAGTCATCTCGACCTTGAGCTAGAAATCTTCCAATGATGCACGCTAGAAAAAAAATTGCTACTTATTTTTCAACGTGATACTTTGGAGAATAATATTGAGGATAATGCATTTATCAAGTTATTTTCTAACACAATACATTGGAAAATAATCTTCACAACAACAGTCAACAACCCGATAACTTCCACTGCTTAGTGCTGTGGAAAAAGTTAACTTATTTTCCAACGCTGCCCACTGGAAAAATGATCTTGAGAATAAGCTACATCATTAACTCATTTTCCAACACAATATGTTGGAAATTTGTTTGCAAATAACAAAATGAACTTACTCTTAGTTTCTAACCTAATGTACTGGAAGCAAAGAGTCTATTAACCAAAAAAATATAATTTTTAGTTTTTTAATGTGAAAATTTTCAATTAAAATCAATTCTAATTGTAATATATATATGCACACATGCACCACATAAATATCTTTAAAATAATATCATTTGAATAATTAAAAAACCTTCACATATAGTTATAAATTAATTAAATCAACTTAAATTAATGAATATCACACATATAAACACAATAATATTTGACAAATTTTACTCTATAAATTCAATCATATACAAAACTTTACGTAATACATGTATTCTCTTAATTTTTTTCTAAATAAATTTAATTAAATACATGAATATACTTTAATGCCATGTAATTCATAAAATTACAAAAGATATATATAAAATGCCATGTAACAATACCTTCAATTGGAATGAATGAACATGTAATTATATACCTAAAAAAAAAAAAATGAATTAGTACACTTTTTAAGTAAAAATTAGCAAATAGTAATGAATTTGAGAAGAGGAGGACGAGGAAATGGAATGAACATGAGAAGGAATCTAGAAGAAAAGGAAGAAGAAATAGAGAGAGAACATGAAAAAAAACTAAACGATTATGGATAATACTTGCAGGCTTTTGAGGAGGCTCATGAATGATCTGGTATTTTTCATGATTCTATAGTATAAAGAACACTTTTGTTTGCTTCAACCACCTAGTTTGGGCTTCTCGAAACAACTTATTGATATCATATCCTGAGATTACTCCAACAAGTGAAACAATTTTTCTACTAAATCACATGCACAAATTCTACTCAAGAAGTGAACTTAAATAACTAAAATTGACATTAAAAAAAAAAGAAAAGAAAAAAAATGTTCTGCACCAAATTACAAAACTTAATCATCACAATCAAAATTCTTAGGCGTTTCAATCAACTTAACAATTTCTTCATTTAATTAAAGAAAATGAACATTGAATCCCTAATCTTATACAGAAACAACTTCAATGGAGCAACGGAATTCCTAAATTAGAATGATGCATTAAAAACAATGGAACCTAACAAATTAATTGAAGAGAGAAAAAGCTTTAAACTCGTTACCTGATTCCATCGTTTCCAATTTGCGAAAAAGATGAAAGCTAAACAAATTGCAAAGAGAACACTAGTCCTTAATTCGTTTAAAGCGTAGAGTCTTAGAACTCAATTCAATGCAAAGATAAGAAGCTTAGCCTCGGCGGAGACTATCGTTGAAGACGGGGAGGTAATAGGAGAGAAATAGGAAGTAGGAGTGGTGAAAGAGAGAGTGAAGGTACAGATAGGGTGGAAGTGTATTTATATAGACATTGAATTATTTTCCAATGCATTGCACTTGAAAATAATATAAGTTTTCAAAATTAAAAGTAAAAAAGTGGCATTTCAAAAATTTTCACCTGGTGGATGGCGGAGTTTACTTATTTTCCAATGCACTGTGCTGGAAAGTAAGCTAAATTTTGATGTTACTTGAAAAAAGGGCGCCATTTCAAAACTTTTCACATGGGGAAGGCTGAGTATACTTATTTTCCAGTGCACTGCACTGGAAAATGAGCTGAATTTTGACATTGCTTGTAAAGGTGGCATTTCAAAATTTTATTGGTGGGGAATGGCGCAACACTTATTTTCCAGTGCAATGCGTTGGAAAATAATATGAATGGCGCAACATACTTAGTTTTCAGTTTTTTGTGTTAGAAAATAGTTTGAAGTTTGCATTAGAGCGGATACTTATTTTCCAGTGCAATGTGTTGGAAAATAGTCTAAATAGCACAAAGTACTTATTTTCTAGTGTATTGCGCGGGAAAATAGTTTGAAGTTTACATATAATGCTTATTTTGCAGTGCATTGCATTATTAAAATACTTCAAATGCTGAAAATTCAAAGAAAGAACTTACCACCTTTATTTTTGGAAAATGGCATAAAATAAGTTCCTAGAAAGATAGGCAAGATTTTGTAAATTTCTACTAAAATCACAATATATTTATATTGCAATCATATATCACAACAAGTGTTTTCTAACATAAGACAAAATATCCCTAGTTGTTTTCAAGTAAAAATGCTAGTACTTAATGACATATTCATCATATAAAGCCCCATATATATATACACACACAAAGTATGTCATGTTCCATATTAAATACCTTAAAATACTTTATACTAATCTAAATACATAAATATATTTCATATCCACATAAGTTATGTGGAGGGATTCTCATTAGGTATAGAAGTATCTCTAGATGTAATAGGGGTGTCACTAGAGGAACATGTCCCTTCTCGAGGTAACATGCCAAGATTTTGCTTAATCAATAGCAATTCCTCCCCAAAAGCTCGATTCTGCTCCTCTAAAATTGTCACCTTATTTTGGAGTTGGACAACATCATTTTGCCTAGCAATGTTCACACTGTCATTATCGTTCTTCTGATAACGTTTCTACATGTATATACCTATAGACTTTGGCCTTTCATGTTGTGATAACCCAACTAAAAGACCTCTTCGAGGCCTTCCTCTTGTATCAACCAAGGCATGCCCATACATCTCATCATCCATATGCCATCGTGTTATCAGTTGTATTAAATTCTTGTGTCATTCGTGACACTACACCATTCTACAAAAAAAAAAAAAAAAAAAAGATTACTCATATGACAAAGATAAGAAATTTTTTCCATTTAATTTGA